GCGCGCCCGGCCGGCGCGGCGGGGCTGGCGCTGCAGCGCGGGGAAGGGCAGAGGCGCCGCTCGGGCCGCCCGCGCGCCCGCGTCCCCGCCGGGCCCGAGTGTGAAAAGTCCGCGGGCTCCGCTCGGCCGCGGCCGCTCCCGCCCCACCCCGGGCCGCCGGCCTCCTCCCCTCACTCCCCGCCTTCCTCCTCTCGCCTCTCCGGCATCTCTCCTCCGCTCGCCCGGCCGCGCGTCCCCTCCTCTCCCGTCTCCCTCCGGGCCCTGACAGTTCGGATGAAGCTCTCAAAGGTAATAAAACGTCCGCACCCCTCCCCGCCGCTCTTTAGCTGAGGGGAACGCGGGGCGGGGGGGGGCCCAAAAGGAGAACTTTCGGGGACGTCACTCCTGGGCCCCGCTCCTCGGGGGGGGGCGGGGCGGAGCCGAGGGGGCGGGGCACAGGGCTCTGGGGCGTAACCGCCGCCTTCCAATAGCGCTCGGCTTCGGCGAGGCGTCGCGCCCTGGGCCACGCCCTCCGGGGAGTGCCCTGCCTCCTGATTGGCTGAGGCTGGGGAGCCTGAAGGCCGCGCCCGCCTAGTCCCCGCCCCAGCGTCCTATTGGGCGGAGCCGAGAGGGGAGGGGCCTGGCGGAAAGAGCGGCTGCGTCCGGGAGCCCGGCGGCCGGGCTCAATTAATTGTGCAAAATAAAATGGAAAGGAGGGGAGGAGGGAGCGGGGACGGAGAGGGTATTACTTTTTAAAGGGAGGAATGATGGAAAGGCGGCCCTTTTATGGAAGAGCCGTCCAAGTTCGCCCCTTCCGCCCACGCCGGATCGCGTCATCCTCCCACTCTTCCCCCACCGGCTCGCGGCGCCTCACCTCGCACGGGGTCTGGACCCTTGCGGAAAGGAGCTGATGGAGCGGGCAGGCGGCGCGTCCCAGGCCGGGCGCCTTCTTTGGAAGGGATTAATTAAAGGCCATCTGGGCTCTTCCAGAATCGTGTCAATTAATTCGTTGCTTCTTAAGCCCGCGGCTGTCCTCAGATCCCCTCGCAGGCCTGAGGGTCGTTCCTTCCCATCCCTCCTGCTTCCCTCTGCTCCTCCTCGTTTTGATCTTCATTCCCGAGTCCTGTCCTCGCCCCCCGCCCGCCCCCATCATCACTACGAAGGGTCCCTCGGTGCTCGAAATAGGCTTCATGGGAATAGTTATCCCTTGAAGGGTGCCTAAACCTAAGAGAAATGAGATAATTAATGTTCTCAATCCTTTCTCTGTTCTAGTGGTTGGCTTTCCGGGAGGCAGGATCACTAAAACCCACGCCACCACTTTAGACAGGCACCCGCGGGGAGACGGCAGGCTGCTGGAACCGACGGGGAGACTGCTCAAGCTTTCGGCTGCAGCTTGCGGAGGGAGCTGGAGCCGCAACAGATAGTCCGAAGGCCTCGGCTCCCTGTTCCTGCTCCCTAAGTTCTGGTCAGAGAAACCCTCGGGTGGGTCTGGAGAAACCGGGCGGTTTCCACCCCAGGGTGGACGGGCGGGAAGCGTCAGGCAGAGATTTGCGTGAGATCGCGGAGTCCGAATTTAGGGTTCGGACAACAGCGATGGGTGCAGTAAATGGGCCAAGAAGGAAAACCCAGCCGCACGGGGTGGGGCGGGGGGGGGGTGGCTCTGAATGTCAAAGAGCTGTTTCTCAGTCCAAGCGGGAGGCCTAATTCCACGCTCTCCCCTCCCCAAAGCTTGCGTCTTTCCCGGGTGTCAGCCCGGGGCTGAGTCTGAGCGGAGAACAGAGGCTGCGGTCACTCGCCCTTCGCTCTCCTCATTCCCTCGTAGTCGGGGAGGTGATGTTTGTCTTCCTCTGGCTTTCCCACCTTCACTAACTCGTGGTCGACGCCGTCATTTCACAGACTGTAGGGTCTGACCCCGGGAAAGGTGGGGTCTGCATGCGCGGGAGGTCTGCTAAGCGGCCTGCCAGCCTCTGGGCTCGGGGGGGGGAGCCCGCCCCTGCCACCGAAGCCGCACAAGAGCGGCCGCCCGAGGCCCTGCGGCTGGGCTCGGCTCGGCGATTTCCACGCCCCTGGCTCCCTCACAAACTACCCACCCGGCATTTCCTCGGAGGTACACCGTCAGCCTGCCCTGAAGTTTGGGCCTCGGGCGGTCTGCTCAGGTTCTCCAGAAAGGGCGTTTTCGGGGACTAGGTAGGAACCAAGAAAACCGAGCTACCGCTCTTCCCAGCTCGCTGCTCAAAGGGTGTCTCTCCCCGCAGAGACTGGAATTGTCAAAGAGTTGGTAGTTTAGAACTGATCCTTTTCCTGTTGAGAATTTAGTGTCTGCTGTTTGGGGAAGGAGTATGAAAGAGATGGAAGGGAGAGACCAGAGAGAGAGACAGACAGACAGAAACAGAGACAGAGACCCACACAGAGAGACAGACAGACACGTGGGGAAGAGGTTCGGTCAACTCGACTCCTGTGTAACTGTGCTCCTTAGTGGCAAAGCTGGGTTTGGATGAAGAGGTCTCAGCCGCTGAGTCTTGGCCTGTCGATCCTGTTGTAGAACTAAAGCAGTATGATTCTTAATTCTAACAAGAAGAAATTATGGGCCCCGGGCACCTTGATCCCTGAGGGGTGAATCCCGGCGCCTAAAGTGCTTTAGCCGCGGCCGATTCACCCCGCCGGCCTCTAGCCCGGTGCCGTCCCGGATCTACCCCCCAGCCCCCCAGCAGGGTGAGCCGCTCGTAGGTGGGGGTGGAGACCGCCCTGCCTTCCTCTCCGGCCCCCGGGCCCTGGTTCCCCGGGGTGCCGGGCCTGCCTGGTCAGCTCAGGGTCCGCTCTGGGGCTCCCGATCGCTCGCCTTGGGGGACCTCGGGGGGGGGGGGGGGAGACTCCAGGCTCTTTCTTGCGCACACTTCCTGAAAGCCGGGCCTTCCCAGGCCAGCAGCGGACGGAGCAGCGTGCCCGCGCACCTCGACCCATCTAGGTGACGCAGACTGGAAAAGGCGAGGCTGTGCTTGGAAGCCAACGATTTGCATTTTGATTTAAAAAAAAATGGCAGCCGTTTGGCAAGTCGGAGGTTGTCGAAAGGGTCCACAGGACAGCGCCGAGGAAGGTGAGGTACCCCCGGACCTTGAGCCTGGGGGACAGGGGCGCCCACCCCGGCCTCCTGGGGTCTGTGGCCGGTGGGATCCGCTGGCCTCCGCGCTCTCCCTTGACCTTCGACGCAGCGCGCAGCGCGCAGTGACGGACGGGGCGAAGGCCAGGGAAGCCCCAGCTTGCCGGACTTGGGCCAGGCGGAGCGGCCACCAGGTCTGCCCCAGGACGTTAGTGCCAAACGTCGGGGTGCTGTGCAAAGGTTTCGATCCAAACAGGAGGGGGGGGGGAGGAGGTGTGCTTCGGGCCAACCAGACCACGACAGCCAACGCCACACACACTGAGCAACGAAAAGTCCCTCGGGGACGAAAAGTCCCTCGAACCATCCAGAAGGCTCCGACCGCTCCGCCTCGCGAGGGCTGGGGCCTATCAGGGCCGAGGGAGAGGATGCGGAGTTTGAAGTCAGTGCCAACAAAGGGGGTCGAGCTAGCGCCTGCACACAAATACAAGGGACACACAGGAGCATCCCCCACGCCGGCCCAGGCCGGCCTCGAGCAGACGGGTCTCTTCCCTGCCGCGAGGCGTTGTGAGGTGGGGCTCCGACCCGGGCCCGGGAGTTCTGCCCACGGTGAAGACGGTTAGGAAAAGGAGGGCTAGACAGGGGTCAACCCACCACCCCGCGGGGCTGCGGGGGCTGCAGGCACTCGTACTCCTCCGTCCTGGCCTCTGAGGAAGAGCCGCCAGGTGCACAGTGGATTCTTCTCCCAGACACACACACACACAATACACACACACACACACACACACACACCACACACACACACACACACAGGCACACACACACACCACAGGCACACACACACACCACACACACACACACACACACACACACCACACACAACACACACCACACACCACACACACACACACACACACACACACACACACACGAAAGTCAGAACTGGAGCGCCCCAAGGGAGAATTCCGAAAGCCCCCCCCCCAAGAGGGGAAGAGCCAAACCCCGCAAATAACTAGAAGTATCTGCGACAAAGTAGATCTCCGTAGGAATGCAAACACGTCGCTTTTCTAACGGAAATCACCCCTCTCCCGGCCACCTGACCCATTTGCACCCTTGGTCTGAAATCTTGGTTTTGCCTCCAAGTGTATATTCTGTAATATTGACAACAGGTGGAGAATCGTATGCTTTAAACAAACAAACAAACAAACAAACAAACAAACAAACATGCCTGTTGGTTTCCAGAGTTAACTCATGGAAGAAAATTGCCAGACCCGCCTGAGGCCTCAGCTCTGATCTGAGGTCAACAGCTACGACAGAGCAGCTCGCTTACATAAGGACGAGCGAGGAGCGTGCTTTCTGATAGACGCCAGAAACCGGCTTCTCCCGCGGGAGTGCGCGCCTGAGCGGGTGGGTGTTGGTCTTCTCCTCGGTCCAAAAGGGAGAAAAAAAAAAAGTTATTCAAGAGGCCGCTTGGCCGGCAGGCTCCTGTGAAACCCTGTGCGGTTATCGCCCTCTTGTGGAAAAC